AAACATTTGTGGGATGAAGTAGAAGATTTGCAGATGCCAACCACAGATGATACTCCAAATGGACTGCAGTTACATCCTTGTTTCCATGAGACAACGCATACCACTGCAATGGAGTAATCTAGAATAGTAGCTTCTCTACCTCTTGTTGTTTCTCTTCAAAGTTTCGTTTGTCCAGTTGTTACTTTAAGGCTGGTTTAAGGGGATGCTGGACCCGGTTTCCAGCAAAGACAGAAGCTGGGGGGTTTGGCCCCAGTAATCCAGGTTGAGATGTGGAGGGATTCCCGACCTCCTTTTGCTATTACAAATTTAAGAAACTGGCCGTTTGAAAGAAAAAAAGAAAAAAAAAAACTATGCGCAATATTCTTCCCACCTTACCCCTTTGACCCGAGGACGTCTACCCTTTCACTGGACCCCGGCCCATGAGGATGCCTTTCGCTCTCTCAAGCGACTTTTCACTTGAGCTCCTGTCTTACACTTACCCAACTACTCACGTTCATTCATTGTCACCACCGACACGTACGACTTCGCTATTGCAGTTGTCCTCTCTCAGACCTACCCAGCCCCTTCTACTCATCCCGATTCCACAGAATCTTGTCTCCCTCGCATTCCTCGCTTCCCTCCCCCACCTCTAGCGACCACGGCTCATCTTACACCCATCGAGCCCAGCCCTTCAAGGGCCCCACACCCATATATCCCTGAAGTTGTTGACGATGGTACAGTCGAGTCTCGCGATGTAGAGGGTCTGGTTGCCTATCTATCTCGACAGCTACTTCCCGCTGAGCGTAACTATACTTCCGACGAGCGTGATGTCCTTGCGCTGGTCTACGCTGTAAAGAAGTGGCGCCATCAGTTGCATGGTCACACCTTCATCGTTTTGACGAAGAACTTTGTCATCGCCGCCTTCCAGACGAAGCCTAAGCTCACTTTTTGTCAGGCTCGTTGGTGGCGTGACCTCTCCGAGTTCGACTTCACCATCAAAAAGATTTTGTGGGAAAGCAATTGCGTAGTAGATGCCTTATCCCGTCGCCCCGATCTTCAATGTGAGGACCATCAGCTATCTGCTATTTCAGCTCCCGCCATCCACCCCACCTTTTTGGATGAGTACCATTGTGCGTAGACCCAGTGCCCCAAATTTCAGTCCATCTATGCTGATCTACAGAATGGCAAGACCGTTCCTAACTTCCATCTTGACTCCTCTAGACTCTTATACTGGCTTGGTCGCCAAGGGACCCGTACTCCCCGCTTATGCGTGCCTTGCGTAGCACCCCATTCGCGTTCTCCGGCGAACGCGAACATGTTCGCCCGAACGCAAACAGGCTTCGAAAAACAGCGAATGCGAACTTTTTTTTTTTTTTTTTTTTATATATAGGGGTGGGGGGGGCATAGGTGGTGTCCCTGAACCCCCTCGKTMCTGTCTCTTATACACATCTAGATGTGTATAAGAGACAGCCCTCGTTCTCTGCAGATCCATCATCTCTGCAATGGTGCTGCCCCCCACCAGATCCACCCCATCCCCCCCGCACCCCCCCGACAGAATGTCTATCACAGTTTGTGTGTGTTGCCCCCTACCAGCCACACATAAGTGACAGACTGGCTGTCACCGTCTGTCACAGCCAGTCCGTTGGGCAGCACACACAGACTGTGACAGACAGTCTGTTGGGTTGCACACACAAACTGTGCCCAACAGACATTGCAACACACAGACTGGTGGGGGCCAGCTCACACAGAGTCTGTCACAGTCTGTGTGACAGAGTTTGTCACCGCCTGTCACAGTCTGTGTGACCGACAGTCTGTCACAGTCTGGTGGGCAGCACACACGGAGTGTGACAGAGTCTGTGTGCCCCCTACCCGACAGACTCTGTCACTGTTTGTGCACTTCCCACCACATTGTGACAGACAGTCTGTGTAACAGATTGTTTGACACACACACACACACACATACACTTGGTACACACACACACACACACGCACACACTGACACACACACTGCAGCAGATTGTGACACACTGACTCACACACACTGACACACACACACACACACACACTGGCGCACCCACGCACACACTTACGCACACGCTACACACACACACACACACACATTGACGCACCCACACACACACGGTACACACACACACACACTGACGCACCCTCGCACACACTGGCGCACCCCAAGGCCCCATAACCCCCGCCAGAACCACTACCGGCGACCGGTACCGGCCCCCGCGAACGACGTTCGCAGCCTCCAAAAACGCGTTCTCGTGAACGTGTTCGTGACCCAAACGCGCGAACGCGTTCACGCGGACGGGAAGCACCGCGAACACGTTCCCCGTGCTACGCAGTGCGTGCCCTCTACTGGCCAGCTCCATGTTCGTGCTGTCGCTTATGCGTGCCCTCTACATTATGTGTTTTATGTATCTCTCTTGTGCCCCTTCAGACAGTCTCCTCTCGAGCTCCACGATCGACCTTACCGTTACCCTTCTCCCATCATCATTGAGGGTCATAGGGAGTTTGTCATCTCTAATATTATGTCCCGGCGGAATCACCGACGATAATCCTCCCTACCTTGAGTATCTCGTTCGCTGGAAGGGTTATCCTAACAAGGGGTTTACTTGGGAGTCTCCCGAGCACCTGAAGCATGCCATGAATTTTGTGCTTGCTTATGATCGGGCTCATCCTTTCCCTCCATCGTCCTCCCCTCCTACTTCTCGTCCTCGCACACCCATCTACTTCAACGACCACTAACATTCTTCATCCTACATCGATGGGTCCTCCTGCTCCATTGGTACCTGCTTCGGGTCCTCCCTCCCTTGTGGATGTGGCTCCGCTTGTTGTTGCAGTCAAGTCGTCTCGTCCTTAGCGTGCCCATGGACTTCCTTTTCGCTATCATGACTGACCTATACCTCTCCTTTATCTCCTATGCTTCTTAGACATGTACGCAGCAGCTCCCGGTTATGGCATCTACATTCGACCACCAACTTCAGTGCTTCTCTCCAACAGCAAAGTACCTGTCGCTGCATTCCGGACTTCTACTCAGCTTTAGCTCTACTCCTACTTCATCCAGCTACTTCACCCCGACTTCAGCTTCGACCTCCATCAGTTGGACTAGTCATTTTTATGCCATGGAGTTTCCCCCGTTCCTACCTACCCCTCACCTTTGACCTTACCCTTCAGTCGCATGACGACCCTATTTTCCTTGTTCATGTGGGTGTGTTTGTCTGCCGCCCTCCTACCTTCCCCTACGCTGCGCGCCCTCCTCTGGAGTGTACGTTTTCTTTGCCCGCAGCTCTTGGCCACACGTCTATGCCAGCATGGCCCTCTTTCCTTCCAGGCTCACCTTATGTGTGCTCCCTTGTGTGAGTGCCCTTTCCCTTTCAGCTGGCGATACCCGTTTGATGGTTTCCATTGAGCCCGGTGTCCTGCTGATACTCTCCCTCTGAGCCTAATGATCTTCACCTGGTTGTGTGGGTAACCCCTTGGAGAGCTGTACCTGCCACCCTCCCACCCATCCCTACCTTTACCATGCGACTAAGTTCCCTTTCCTTTTGTTAAGGTATTGTGCATTGTGTACAGGGCATGCGAAATTGTACCACATCGACTTAGGACATTGGTCTATTTACTCTTGGCCTTTAGGTCCTTGGTGTTGATTTATACTCAACCACATTGGCTTAGGATACATTTTTCTCTTTCTTGGCCGACACAGGTCGAACATTTTTCCCTTTCTGGGCCGACACAGAGCAGACATTTTTGTCTTCCTTGGCCGATACAGGTCAGACATTTTCCTGCATTTTGGGTCGACTCGGACCGGACATTGTTGCATAGATTAGGCGTGAGGCTTTTAGTCTGCATTGCATCTCTTTTCCTGCATGGAGCTTGCTCTGCATTTAGGATTGTTTTCTTTGTCGTTCCTTTTGGGTTTCCGTTATTTCAGTGGATAGCATGTTCGATGTATTGCTTGATCCATTCACAGGTTCGAGGATCGTGTAGCGGTACCCCTGCGTGCCGGCAGTGAGGACGGACCAGTTTCAGGCCGTCGACCCAACCCTGGTCCGGTACCAGGTTATTCCGTACCAGGACCTAGGCTGGTATATCACTTCAGCCTAGGCCCAGGTCGTGAGGTTGGTTCGACTCTCTTTTGGTGGGTTCATTCATTCAGTGGGACATTCCCACGTTCAGTTGCTGCTTCTTGTGTGTCCATTCCTCACTCTCTCTCTCTCTCTCTCTCTCTCTCTCTCTCTCTCTCTCTGAGACAGCCTTACCCCTTTGACCCGAGGACGTCTACCCTTTC